CATGAAAAAATTCCTTCTGATACCCAAAAAGGAGTTTTAGGATAAAGGAGAAAGGCAAAATCCCCCACAAAGCCAAGGGATTGTAGGGACTGTTATTCCTGGCTCCAGCAAAAGGGAGGAAAATCCCAGCGGGATTCCTGACACCCCCCAAGGGTGTCCCGGTGGCAATTCCTCCTGAAAGTGTCAGAAATGACAGGATTCAATTAAAACCAGGAAACTCCARCACCATTCATCCGTTGCTCCATAAATTCACCGCAAGGCTCGGATCCGTTATTTTATCCAAWATTAATTAAAAAAAAATAAAAAGGGAAAAACGTGTCACACTCCATAGAAACATAAATATTCCGGCTGGGAGTCTGTGGGCACATCAATCCCGTGGGATTCGCTTTAAGAGATCCCCCTGGACGGTTCTGTTTCAATTTCGCCCCGTTCCTGGCCCGGCTTCRGGAAAATGTGCCAGGAATTTTGCATCGGAGCGTTTTACGGGTGCATTTGAGATGTTGGATAATCCAGAAATCCCAAGTGAAATCCATGGAAAGTTCCCTCTCTTTCCAGTCCGCAGATTGCRGYGGACATTGGGGTTGGATCSACCTGGGATTGTGGGAATTGTCYCTGGATGGGYTTTAAGCCACTCCSATYCCAAAYAATTCCATGATTCCATGGAATTCTGGGATTCCACTGCTGGCAAACCCACAGGACTTCGGAATTCTGCCTTCCCTCCTTCCCGCTGCGATATCCAAGGAAAAAGGGAACAAAACCTCGGCTCTGTGGGATGCTCCCTGCGCCCTCTGCATCCCAACCCCTCAGAAAATCCCAAAATTCCAGGGATAATGGAATCCTGGAGTCGGATGGGACTCTCCACCCTTTTCAGGTGGGAATTGAACTCTCCATCTCTCCAACTTTTCCCTGTTTTTTCTAATGGAAAAAACTCCATAAAATATAAATTTGCCAGAGAAGAAACTGCCCTGTCGAGCTGGGGACACCCAGGGCTCCGCTGGAAAAGCAGGAAAAGGGAACAGCGGAATTTGGGAGGGGGAATTGGACGCGGAGCAAAGTTTATGGGTCCCTTTCAAGGCAGCGTGAAATTCGCTTCCACGATTAAATTGGGCTCCCAACATTCCCTATAAAAACAACCCGGAGCGCGGGATTTATATCCCGGCTTCGTCCAAGCCGCGGGGAGAAAAAACCTGGAATTATTGTTCGGGGWTGGTTTTCTGGGAGAGGAGGGGGAGAGAGGGGAGGCTCGGGGATATTTTATGGCTGTGGATAAAGCAGCAGAGAAGGAAGGGGAAAAATCGGCTCCGATTCCCGGGAAAGCGTTGGCAGGGTTGCATTTCTCCCAGATYGGGAATGAGCTCTGGAATACCAAGGAGCAAACCTGATTTTCAGGAAGGAGATTTTCATCCTAAAAGTGCAATTTTGGCCT